AGCAGTGTGGTACACTTGAACCCAGAATGGTGCACACAGGCAACAGAAGTTAAACACAACAAACACATTGTTTTCATCAGTAACACACTACCACTCAAAGTAGAAAACACATGTTGCAATCTGTTCTTCTGCTTTTTGCTAGATTGAATACAGCTTCATCCAAGAAAATGTATCCATGAGGCCTAAACATAGAGTCAAGCTCAAAGATTCTCTGTACACAACAAACTAATTTTAGTTCTATAAATGAAATAGTATAATGTAAACGTGTGCTATGTATACAAATATATTTGTAACTAAATGGTATTTTCTTTAGGATTGAAGGACGGCCACATGAGGGTTGAGGAACAAGCATGTGCTCACAACACCAGGAGACACTTATTGTATATAGTTCATCAGAATAATGCAAGTCGATTGCATGAATTGCAGCAATGGAATATAGAAGACAACATACATGTTGAATCTAGCAAAAAGCAGAAAAAAAGGTCACAATGTCATAGGTCAATGTGCCATTATTGAACTGCCTGGTTGGCGTGGTGGAAATGTAATAATCTGTGCTGCCATCAGCAGCTGTGGGGTTCTTCACAGTCATGTTATTGTTGGGCCGTACAACAATGAACTTCTAGCAACATTCCTGGAGGGTCTACAAGATGCTTTGCTTGAGTAGAGAGACCTCAAGCAGGCAGAGCATCCCAAATTATTTGGGACAATGTGAGCTTTCACCGAGGTCCAAGAATACGCAATTGGTTTCACAATGAACAGCATTTTATCAATGTGTTTCTTCCACCATACACTCCCTTTTGAACGCTGTCGAGGAGTTTTTCTCAGCATGAAGATGGAAAGTATACAACCAAAACCCTTACACACAGGAAAATCTACTTCAAGCATTGAATGGAGCATGTGGTGAGATGTGACTGGAATCTTGCTCGGGCTGGATTTGGCATCTCGTTGCATTGCAAGGGAGACCATAATATATGATGTGGATGAAGTCCTATGGCCTGACCCAGCACAGAGGCTTGACGCTGAGGCAAATTAAATTATCTGAATATGCTGTAAAAATATATAATTTTTTATGTATATGTAACTTTTTTATTGCAGTTCTTTTTTGTTAAAATGTGAGTACAAGAATTAATGAATGAATAGATGAATATTATTTTCCTGCTTTTTCACAGTGTTTTGTATTTATTTCTGTAGTGTGTAATAGTTGCTAAGTGGCTGGTTTTGTGTGGCTTTTGACAGTAGTGGTTAATTTTGAGTAAAGTTTCCGTTTTTTCTGAATGCTTAAAGCCTAATTGTGATTCTTACAGCACAATTTCTAAAACTATTAATACTTACAGCAAAACCACTCACTGAGTTTGCAAAACTAAAAGCACAAACACTGCTTTGCACTCAGTTTGCCATTTTGTAACACACACTTTGCA